AAAAAAAAAAAAAAAAAAAAAAAAAAAAAAAAATCAAATTAAAGTGAAGTGAAAATTTCTAAATTTCCTAAGCTCAAATCTCAGACACTGTCAACCTAGATGTGAAAGAGAAACTTGGGTTAGGAAATGGAAATGAAATCAACTACGATGATGATGATTTTTTTTTTTTAAAAAAAAAAAAAAAAAAAAATCTCAGTCGTATATGGGTTACATTCAGTTTTATCTTAATTTTGATTTATTTTAGAAACTATCATGATGTCAACCAGGAATACTTTTTTTTTTTTTTTTTTTTTTTTTTTTTTTTTTTTTTTTTTTTTTTTTTTTTTTTGAAAAAACAAAAACAAAAAAAACAAAAAACAATATATCTCTTGACCAAACAAAAGGTTGATGGAATGAACATTTTTGAATATGCAATAAAATTAAAAATTAAAAACTACGATACTCTTATTCAAAGAGAACATTTTTTTAAGCTTTTCTTGGTAAAAGAATGTGTAAGGCTTGAATGAACTCTAATAATGTAATGTTAAATTTATAATCATACATTCCATTCTTTTTCTTCCATCAGTCTTATTATTATTATTATTATTATTATTATTATTTTTCCATACCTCTCTCTAGCCACTAGACTTTTATTTTTATTTTATTTTATTTTTTATTTTTTAGAAGAAAAAGCCAGTGGATAGGTTCAAGTGTAGGTATCAAAAAAACCCCCCAAAAAAAGGTATAGAAATTGTAGAGATACTGATTCAAAGGGTAAAATGAAGATTAAAAAAAGTTGATTAAGACTTCCAAAAACAAAAACAAAATTTCCAAAAAAAGATTGAAGAAGCCTAGCTGGATGGTTGAGAACCTTGTGGAAATATTTTACAAGGGAGCTTGATGCTCATCAAAAATTGAAATAGATATGACAAAATTTTTGAAAAAATATTTTTTTGACATATGGAAGTCAAAGTATGAGTATTCTAAGTAGCAAATTGGCAAAAATGCATAAAGAGAAATCAAACCATTTGAAGGCAATCAAAAGAACACATAGAACTTGAACTACAAGATAGAGACTCAGAGGGAACAATGAGTTGATCAGTACTGACTCAGCCAGGCCTTTCATCACTTCCCTACATTAGTTTTAGGGAAACACAAATGAGACCACAAGCACAAAGAGCCTCAGTTTTTTGGATTGAATAATAAGAGATCAAGATCTCTTAGTCCAACCACCAGATCTTTTTTCATCAGTCATTCCACCAGATGGAAATCATCAATTTTTTAATAAAGGTAGCACAGTGTGAGCAGTCCACTACATTCTTAATATGTGGGCAGTTGACATGTACAATGAAAACCAAGTAAATGCTTTAAGAATTTTTTTACTAGCCAATATTTTTCAGGTTTAAATGAATGTGAAAGAAATGCTTTACTTGATATAAGGAGTTGACAAAAAAAAAAAAAGGAAAAACATGAGAGGTTACAAGAAAGGGGAAAAAACAAATAATGAAAATTTTCAAATGAAGCCAATCCACATCCAAGTTTTCATTGATTATCAAATCCACATACTCCCAAATGAATGATTACTAGCAATTTAACTTGTGTATGTATGTCTCACATGACTACCCCAACAGACTTAATGTCAGCCCCTGAGTACTTGAGAAGTACCATGAAGCTGCAAATGTTGATATAAATATATTCTTACCACACCTCATAGCTCAGTTTCAAGAGCTGTAACTGAGAATCCACTGTAAAACTGAATTAAAAGTTACAGCATGATTACATGTAGAGTAACCTGCTGTAAACCATAAACTCATACTGTAATAACATACAAGATGTTATGTACTAATAATAACAAGACATAGTAAAATTTTGCCTTGTAATGAGTGTATGCTAATAAAGGATAGAGGATAAGAATATAAAAGATGAATCTGACATCCTCTACAGGAGGAGGATAATCTGCATCATAAAAACCAACTTCAACTTTCTGAATAACTATAAAGAAATCATAGACTTTCTATCTTCAGAGAAAATCTTAATCACCATCTACTATAAGAGTAGCCTGTTGATTTATTGTCACTTCTAGAAAGCTTATATTATTTTTATTCATCAGTTTTCTTGTGTTTCTTGGTCTGTAAAGGTGCAAAGCTAGAGCCTTTCCTCACTACTTCACTGCCAAGAAAAATGCATCACATAGAGGCATGCTATGTCACATAGCAGGCCAAGATGCGATGCAATAGGTCTATTTTCCAAGGTAGGGACCTTGAAAAATGGTCCATAGTATCACATGAAGACATGCTATGTTACATAGCAAGCTTCCATGCGATGAAAATATGTTGGCAGTGAAACTTCAAGCTGGAAGGTGGTGAAGCTTTGCCTTGTTTTTGCCACTTCCGACTTCTCAATAATGCACAAACCTTTTGAGGTTTTCATGCACGTGTCAAGAAAGAAAAAAGCTGCACCACAAGAAGTGGCGTGAAAGATTGTTAACATGGCATGTGTGCTTGACCCCCGGGTCTCCCTAGTAAAAGGCGAGGGGGACGTTCGAGTTTGAGGCCAAACGCGCCATACGCAGTGCTGATATTTACTATATAGATACCCTTGCTTGGAATCCTTTGTTCGATCCTCCGGCATAACAACCGTTGCGTCTTCGTTGGGTCTTATCCAAACTTTCGATTTTTCGTTTGATCCAGCCTCGGCGTCCTTGTAAAGACATGGGTAGACTAAATTAGGCGCTGGTGGCTGTATCTCTCGTGCCGAGCGATCGCGATCGGCCTCTCAGCCGAACAGGGTCTTCGACGATCTGATGATATGATGCACGCTGATCGCGCCTGGATGACATACACGAAAGGTGTGTGCTTCTCTTCCTGCACGCATCACCCTAGCTTGGACCAACTCATACCACCACTAACGGCAAATCTCTTTCCATTTTAGATTTTACAAAGTTCGCTCCGACAGAGCAGGTCAGCATGAGAAGACAAAGTTTAAGCGTCAAAAATATATGTCCTGGAGTACCTGGGAATCGAACCCAGCGCCTCTCGCAACCGGTGAACCAAAGCCCGATGCTAAGCGAGCGCTCTACCGATGAGCTAGAACCCCGCTGACACTGTGAGCATAGTACTGTCGCTTTCTGTAAAGCGACAACTGGTCGCACCACGTGACTGTACACTGTAGCCAAGCGACAGTACATGCGACTGTTGAAACTCAGCATGCGACAGGTCTCCAAGCCTTGCGACAGCTATTTGTGTTGTGGCCCAATCTACTACCACCAGTCTGTCACCCGCCTCATTGATAAACCTTTTGCCGCACTCGGACGAGGACCACCTGGTTTATGACACTGGGAGATCATCAACCTTCTGAACTGAATTCATGGGCTTGTTGAGGTAAGTCCAATATGCTCCTCCTTCTGACAGTGAGATATATTATCAGCTAACTCCCATGGCATCTCCTGAGCATCACCTCAAAGGGGCCGAGATATGAACCACTTTCACGGCAGGGATA